GTGCCCCATCGTTGGTATCAGTGGGAGGAATAGTGCCCCATCGTTGGTGTCAGTGGGAGGAGTGAATAGTAGTGCCCCATCGTTGGTGTCAGTGGGAGGAATAGTACCCCATCGTTGGTGTCAGTGGGAGGAATAGTGCCCCATCGTTGGTGTCAGTGGGAGGAATAGTGCCCCATCGTTGGTGTCAGTGGGGGAGGAATAGTGCCCCATCGTTGGTGTCAGTGGGGGCAGGAATAGTGCCCCATCGTTGGTGTCAGTGGGGGAGGAATAGTGCCCCATCGTTGGTTTCAGTGGGGGGAGGAATAGTGCCCCATCGTTGGTGTCAGTGGGGGGAGGAATAGTGCCCCATCGTTGGTGTCAGTGGGGGGAGGAATAGTGCCCCATCGTTGGTGTCAGTGGGGGGAGCAATAGTGCCCCATCGTTGGTGTCAGTGGGGGGAGGAATAGTGCCCCATCGTTGGTGTCAGTGGGAGGAATAGTGCCCCATCATTGGTATTAGTGACACCAATGATTGGGCTCTATTCCTCCCACTGACACCAATGATACTTACCTTGCTGACCCCTGCTCCAGCCTGGGCTCGCTCGCTCCCTCCCTCTCTCATGGTACAGACACTTACCGGTCAGCTGTCTTCCTTCTCTGGCCGCTCTCCTCCTCTTCACTCGCTCGATCTTCGCGGTGCCGCTCGGCTCCTCCTCTCCAAGCTCCACCACCTCGCCGGTGATTGGCCGCCTGTGTGCCTCTCCTGAGCTACAGTTCCGGCGGCCAATCACCGGCGAGGATTGATCCCAGGGGTGTGTCCAGATGACAAGGGCGGCATGTCATCCCGCCCACACCTGGAGACGGATAGAGGAGCGGTGTCTCGGTTCCTAAGACCATCGGAAATATGTGTTTTCCGATGGTCTTAGGCGACCCCTGTGAAAGAGTCGTTCGACCCCCAAAGGGGTCGCGACCCACAGGTTGAGAATCGCTGATATACAGAAAGGCCCCCACTATTGGTGATAAAGTGGTTAAGAAAATCCTAGACCCACCTGGTAAAGTGGAAATGTATTGGAATAAAAAAGGGTTTTTCTCATGTCGGAAATGTTCAGGAGGAGGAGGGCGGGGAGAGAGGAGGGGGGGGAGGGGTTCAGCATGTAATACGGTGAGTAGTAGATTCAGGGGCTTTACCAAATTTAAATCATCATCAAAAGGGAAAGAATTTGATATCCCTGCTTTTATAACATGTGAGACCACCCATGTTTTATATGCCTTGGAGTGCCCATGTGGCCTTATTTATACAGGTCGCACAAAAAGACATCTTAGAAAAAGGATTAATGAACATCTACATAATATATCTATAGGATATAAGTATCATAGTGTTTCCATGCACTTTAGGAAGCATCATAATAAGGACCCTTCTTGTGTGAAATTCTGGGGGAAAGATACTATTCCACATTCTTGGCGAAGCTCCAATAGGGTGAGGTAATTATCAAAAAGGGAAACTAAGTGGATTTTTCTTACGGATGCCTTAACACAGAATGGTCTAAATAATCAATTAGATATTAATTGTTTTATTAGTGATTATTGTTTTCCTTTATTATTATGAATTTTTAGTATGTAATGAATAATTGGTAATTTATTATATAATTTTAATTTATATTTTATTAATTATATATATATATATATATATATATATATATATATATATATGTGTGTGTATATATATATATATTCAGTCAGCAAGTGGTACAGTGGGGATCGAAAGTTTGGGCACCCCAGCTAAAAATTTGTATTAATGTGCATAAAGAAACCAAGGAAAGATGGAAAAATCTCCAAAAGGCATCAAATTACAGATTAGACATTCTTATAATATGTCAACAAAAGTTAGATTTTATTTCCATCATTTACACTTTCAAAATAACCGAAAACAAAAAAATGGCGTCTGCAAAAGTTTGGGCACCCTGCAGAGTTAATATCTTGTACTGCCCCCTTTGGCAAGTATCACAGCTTGTAAATGCTTTTTGTAGCCAAGTGTCTTTCAATTCTTGTTTGAGGTATCTTTGCCCATTCTTCCTTACAAAAGTCTTCCAGTTCTTTGAGATTTCTGGGCTGTCTGTCACGCATTGCTCTTTTAAGGTCTATCCATAGATTTTCAATAATGTTGAGGTCAGGAGATTGTGAAGGCCATGGCAAAACCTTCAGTTTACGCCTCTTGATGTAATCCCCCGTGGATTTCGAGGTGTGTTTAGGATCATTATCCATTTGTAGAAGCCATCCTCTCTTTAACTTCAGCTTTTTCACAGATGGCATCAAGTTACCATCCAAAATTTGCTGAAATTTTATTGAATCCATTTTTCCTTCTACTCGTGAGATGTTCCCTGTGCCACTGGCTGCAACACAACCCCAAAGCATGATTGATCCAACCCCATGCTTAACAGTTGGACAGAGGTTCTTTTCATTAAATTCTGTGCCCCTTCTTCTCCAAACGTACCTTTGCTCATTCCGGCCAAAAAGTTCAATTTTAACCTCATCGGTCCACAGAACTTGTTTCCAAAATGCACCAGACTTGTCTATATGTTCATTTGCAAAGTTCAAATGATGATTTTTGTGGTGAGGATGTAGAAGAGGTTTTCTTCTGATGACTCTTCCATGAAGACCATATTTTTACAAGTTTCTCTTTATAGTGGAATAGTGTACCACAACTCCAGTGTCTGCCAGATCTTTCTGGAGGGATCGTGCAGTCAAACGTGGGTTTTGATTTGTTTTTCTCACAATCCTGCGAGCTGTTCTGTCTGATATTTTTCTTGGTCTTCCAGATCTTGCTTTAACTTCCACTGTTCCTGATGACTGCCATTTCTTAATTACATTCCGAACAGAGGATATTGACATCTGAAAATGCTTTGCTATCTTCTTATAGCCTTCTCCAGCTTTGTGCGCGTCAACTATTTTCAGTTTCAGTTTTCTAGACAACTGCTTAGAAGAACCCATGGTGCTGATTGTTGGGGCAAGGTCAGATGAGTCTGGGCATTTAAAACCTTTGAGCTTGACATCACCTGGTCTTCCCAGACGATGATTGCGAACAATCCATGACACTGGCAGGTCTCAGCTTTGCAAAGGGGGCAGTGCATGCTATAAATTCTGCAGGGTGCCCAAACTTTTGCAGACGCCATTTTTTTGTTTTCTGTTATTTTGAAAGTGTAAATGATGGAAATAAAATCTAACTTTTGTTGACATATTATAAGAATGTCTAATCTGTAATTTGATGCCTTTTGGAGATTTTTCCATCTTTCCTTGGCTTCTTTATGCACATTAATACAAATTTTTAGCTGGGGTGCCCAAACTTTCGTTCCCCACTGTATATATATATATAATTTTCAAATTGTTATTATTTAAAACATTGATGGAGTTATTTATATTTAATCTTATGAATTAAGTTTATTGCACTGTTGGTTGTAATTTAAATTTTATCTGTTAGGTCAGAGCGAGTTAGGAGAGATCTTATTATCAGTCATGTTATCTTGTTAAAATCATGAATGTAGTGAGCATTATAGTGTACATCCATTAGAGGGCAGCAAGGAGTTAGATCGTCTAACCAATGATATGACAAGTGGCCTTTTAAAAGACCACTGTCAGGAATGGACTCGCCAGTAGTGGTGGGACTCACCTGCCTTGTGGGTTGCAGTACCAGGACTGGCCAGAGGGTGCTCTCAGCAACCAGAGGCTCACTCCTGCAGTCAGCCAAAACACCTGAGGCTGATTGCAGAAGGTGCATATAAGGAATGACCAGGCCTGTGATCTGGGCCTTGGTGTATGTTTCCCAAGAGCCCCTGTACCTGCATCCTGTCTGATCCTGCTTGATCCCTGACTCTGATTGAACTCCGCCTGTTCTGACCTCTGCTATTCCTGACCACTCTCCAGTCTGCTCCTTTGTACCTTGTCTGCCTGATTGTTCCTGACCCGGCCCATCTGACTACGCTCTGCCTGCTCCTTTGTACCTTGCCTGCCCGTTTGCTACCGACCCGGCCTGCCCGACTACGCTTAGTATTGTTCTTTTTGTTATCTGTTGGGGGTTTTGGTTTGGTTTGTTTGCACTGTGTTTATGTTTAGTCTTGCACTGCGTTTATGTATCGTTTAGTCTTAAATAAATTATATTGTTTATACTATATCTGAAGCCTGCGTTTCCCTGTGTCAGTCCACACACCTCTGGTCATACCCGGAGCCCTGACATTACACCAAGGCCAATCCTGACCAGAAGTGGCTGCACAGGAAAGCCATCTTGGCTTATTGTTGTTGGGAAGGATGAATCTTGATGAGGTGGTGTATTTGTCTCTGCTAGTGTTTGATGACAGAGATTATGCTTATCAGACTCTGAAGGAGTATACCAGGGATGAACTGCTAGAGTGCATAAGGATTGCTCATTGCCTAGTAGATCAGGGCACAGAGCTCTCTGAGGTGCAACCATTGATTCAGGTTTGTGCAGAGTTGGTTTTCATCTGGTACCCCCGAAAGCAGGGATGAATTTTTGCCACCATTTAGTGCCGACCAGGTAGAGTCCCTGGTATGGTTATTGGAGGATGACGTGGATTACTTTCTGGAGCGTTATTCTGCATGTTCACAACAGGTACTAAGAGACTGTATAAACGCAGTGCAGTCTTTGACCAGACAGGCTTTGTGTAAGCTGAGCTTTGTTCAACCCATACTGCAGACATGGTCAGACTTGTTGCACCCAGCCTCAGTCAGCTTGCAACGTCATTCCTCTGCTCAAGGCACTCTTCCTGCATCCCCGACAGCACCCCCAGTGACGGCCCAGCATACTCTGCTAACTACCACAGATCAGTCCCCTGCTCCCACTCGCTGCCTTTCTTTAACCCTGTAAAGAAGTCCTCTGTAGCAACTGCTCCCTCCTTTGTTCGATCCCCCAGCTCTTCTCTGCCTACAGCTGCTCTATCCACTTACAAACCTGCGCTTACTTCCTGTGCTCCAGTAACTAAAACCAGGAAAAAGCGAAAATTCTTTCCAACCAGTACCATCCTGCCAGTATCCAAACCGGTCAGCCTGCCGTCTGAGAACCCACCTTCCGTGGTTCAGCCTGGTGCCCCGGCACCCGCAATTCAGCCTGATACCCTGATGCCTGATGACTCGGTGCCCGCTGTTTTGCTGACGACCTGATGCCCGCAGTCTTGCCAGATGGCTCGGTGCCCGCAGTCTTGCCAGATGGCTCGGTGCCCGCAGTCTTGCCAGATGGCTCGGTGGCCGCTGTCTTGCCAGATGACTCGGTGGCCGCTGTCTTGCCAGATGACTCGGTGCCCGCAGTCTTGCCAGATGACTCGGTGCCCGCTGTCGAGCTTGACGACCCGATGCCCGCAGTCTTGCCAGATGACTCGGTGCCCGCAGTCTTGCCAGATGACTCGGTGCCCGCAGTCTTGCCAGATGACTTGGTGCCCGCTGTCTTGCTTGACGACCCGATGCCCGCAGTCTTGCCAGATGACTCGGTGCCCGCAGTCTTGCCAGATGACTCGTGCCCGCAGTCTTGCCAGATGACTCGGTGCCCACTGTCTTGCTTGATGACCCGATGCCCGCTGTCTTGCCAGATGACTCGGTGCCTGCTGTTTTGCCAGATGACTTGCTGCCCGCTGTCTTGCCAGATGACTTGGTGCCCGCAGTCTTGCCAGATGACTTGGTGCCCGCTGTCTTGCCAGATGACTGGGTGCCCGCTGTCTTGCTTGATGACCCGATGCCCGCTTTCTTGCCAGATGACTCGGCGCCCGCAGTCTTGCCAGATGACTCGGCGCCCGCAGTCTTACCAGATGACTCGGCGCCCGAAGTCTTGCCAGATGACTCGGCGGCCGCTGTCTTGCCAGATGACTCGGCGGCCACTGTCTTGCTTGACGACCCGATGCCCGCTGTTTTGCCAAATGACCCGGCGCCCTCTGTCTTGCCAGATGACTCGGCGCCCGCTGTCTTGCCAGATGACTCGGTGCCCACTGTCGAGCTTGACGACCCGATGCCCGCTGTTTTGCCAGATGACTCGGTGGCCGCTCTCTTGCTTGACGACCCGATGCCCGCTGTCTTGCCAGATGACCTGGCGCCTGCTGTCTTGCCAGATGACCCGGCGCCCGCTGTCTTGCCAGATGACTCGGCGCCCGCAGTCTTGCCAGATGACTCGGCGCCCGCTGCTCCGCCTGGTGACCCGGCGCCCGCTGCTCCGCCTGGTGGCCCGGTGCCCGCTGCTCCGCCTGGTGGCTCGGTGCCCAGCCTGATGTGCCTCCGTCCAGTGCCCAGCCTGATGTGCCTCCTTCCGGTCCCAGGATGCCCAGCCTGATGCGCCTCCGTCCGGTGCCCAGCCTGATGTGCCTCTGCCCGGTGCCCAGTCTGATGTACCAGTCATTGATATTCCGCCAATTACCGGATCCGGGCGGTGGAACATTTTGCCCATTTAGGACGGTTTGGAGCGTCCTGAGGCCGCTCCTTGAGGGGGGGTACTGTCAGGAATGGACTCGCCAATAGTGGTGGGACTCACCTGCCTTGTGGGTTGCAGTACCAGGACTGGCCAGCGGGTGCTCTCAGCAATCAGAGGCTCACTCCTGCAGTCAGCCAAAACACCTGAGGCTGATTGCAGAAGGTGCATATAAGAAATGACCAGGCCTGTGATCTGGGCCTTGGGTGTATGTTTCCCAAGAGCCCCTGTACCTGCATCCTGTCTGCTTCCTGTCTGATCCTGCTTGATCCCTGACTCTGAATGAACTCCGCCTGTCCTGACCTCTGCTATTCCTGACCACTCTCCAGTCTGCTCCTTTGTACCTTGTCTGATTGTCTGCCTGATTGTTCCTGACCCGGCCCATCTGACTACGCTCTGCCTGCTCCTTTGTACCTTGCCTGCCCGTTTGCTACCGACCCAGCCTGCCCGACTACGCTTAGTATTGTTCTTTTGTTATCTGTTGGGGGTTTTGGTTTGGTTTGTTTTGTGCACTGCATTTATGTATTGTTTAGTCTTAAATAAACTATATTGTTTATACTATATCTGAAGCCTGCGTTTCACTGTGTCAGTCCACACACCTCTGGTCATACCCGGAGCCCTGACAACCGCTCATTTTCACATATGGCCACACTCTCAGAGTAAGTTGGCATGACGGAATGCGTCAGGGCATAACCATCCGTGACGTCAGTGCGCACACCGGGACCACGTGGTTCGATCACGTGAACGCTACTGCGGGAGTCCGTACCAGGAAATGTGTGGTGAGACTGTTACTTGCCGCTGAAAGCGGCTGCTAGAACGGCTGGAGCCCAGGGGCGGACTGACAACTCATGGGGCCCACGGACAATAGGGGATCATGGGGCCCCTGTGTCCTTGCCCAAACTCAAAAAAGCCTATGAAAAAGGTACCAGGGGCATCTCATGGGGCCCCCTACTGACCCCGGGCTCTTGGGCAGTGCCCAAGTTTCCAAATGGTCAGTCCGCCCCTGCTGGAGCCTATTTACATTCATACACTGTGCTTTTTTTACTTGACTCAATGTGAGTGTCATTTTAAGGGGGGTTTTGTTTAATAAATGTGTTAAACGGAATTACACTATGTGGTTGTCCTTTACTTTGCCCACATATGGAATTGGAGTATTATGATTGTCTTGATGGTGAGGAAGTCAGAAGGAAAGTGATCAATATTTATATCTGATGGATGGTGATCTTGGTCTGTGATATTGAGGATGAATATTCCACTTTCGGTCCTGTATTAATCATTCAGCACCAAGGAGGTTTATTTTCCACTGCTGGTTACTCACCAGCATCTGGTGAGTGTTCAATTTGATGGAGTGTTAATCACTGCAGGATCACAATGATGGTGTATTGAACTGTCCTAAAGGAATATTACATCGATGAAGTGAGTGAACTGAACTTTATTCACATTTGTACACTTCGGTGGAAGCCTTGCTGTTCTTTCCATTTTCCATGTGATATCTGTGTACATATGATCCTAATGTTTTAGGGTAATTTGAGTATAACTGAGAGCTGTTTATGAGGATGGTTTAAGCTACTCATCCATGTGCATATTTAATATTATTTAAAACAGCTGCTTTGTTATAGTATTTATGATCTTAGTAATAGAGTTTTGTTTTTTATCTTTCACCATCATTTAAGCAGGGTGATATAAATTGATATTTCAGCATATATATATTTATTGGATTCTAATTCACTGTCGCTGTCTTCTAGCTGGTCTAAAACCACTTTTGGCCTAAAGGGACGCTTTTTGGATGCCATGGACGTTCTCAAGTTTCCAGGCAGAAAGAATGGTAAAACTGCAGGCAGGGCACAGGACAAAGCACTAGGGACAAAACTGAGGTGAAATGGTTTGATACAGTAATGTAATCCTAATAGATTACAATGTATTCTGTGTACGTCATATTATAACTTTTTTTATGCTCACAGGGGGGAAGATGGAGCGGGAGGACAACGGGTGATCGCAGGACAAGGTAAGGATCGGGGGGTCACAGGAGAAGTGCTACAGTTTAATCCCGAGTGTGGCTTGGGGTTACCGCTTTTGGTACTGTAAATTAACCCCGAGCCACACTCGGGATTACTGCCAGGGATGTTAATATGCCATGCTGTACATTCCCTTGTCTGCATTGCCTTATTCTGTGTGCCATGCTGTACATTCCCTGTTCCATAACGTTCTGTGTGCCATGCTGTACAATTCCTGTTCCACAACGTTCTGTGTGCCATGCTGTACATTCCCTGTTCCACAACGTTCTGTGTGCCATGCTGTACATTCCCTGTTCCACAATGTTCTGTTCTGTGTGCCATGCTCTACATTCCCTGTTCCATAACGTTCTGTGTGCCATGCTGTACAATTCCTGTTCCACAACGTTCTATGTGCCATGCTGTACATTCCCTGTTCCACAACGTTCTGTGTGCCATGCTCTACATTCCCTGTTCCACAACGTTCTGTGTGCCATGCTGTACATTCCCTGTACATTTATACTCCACACCACCTAATTTTATATGGTGTGCTGTAAATTCTCTTTTCTGCACTATCTCACTCTACATGGAAAAGCTATACATTTCTTTTTTTACATGAGGTCATTCTCTATGCTGTACTTTTCATCTTATATTCCATGCCAATGCATTCTGCATGCTGTACTGTAAAAACATCCATACTTATCGCTTTTCACCACTGCATCCTCTGCCTTTTAAACACACTCTGTAAAACATTGGGGCAAAAAAGTATTTAGTCAGCCACCAAATTGTGCAAGTTCTCCCACTTAAAAAGATGAGAGAGGCCTGTAATTGGCATCATAGGTAGACCTCAACTGTTTGGTAGAAACACAACTCGTCGTGTTTGGAGGAGAGAGAATGCTGAGTTGCATCCAAAGAACACCATACCTACTGTGAAGCATGGGGGTGGCAACATCATGCTTTGGGGCTGTTTCCCTGCAAAGGGACCAGGACGACTGATCCATGTACAGGACAGAATGAATGGGGCCATGTATCGTGAGATTTTGAGTGCAAACCTCGTTCCATCAGCAAGGGCATTGAAGATGAAACGTGGCTGGGTCTTCCACCATGACAATGATCCCAAACATACCGCCCAGGCAACGAAGGAGTGGCTTCGTAAGAAGCATTTCAAGGTCCTGGAGTGGCCTAGCCAGTCTCAACCCCATAGAAAACCTTTGGAGGGAGTTGAAAGTCCGTGTTGCCCAGCGACAGCCCCAAAACATCACTGTTCTAGAGGAGATCTGCATGGAGGAATGGGCCAACATACCAGCAACAGTGTGTGTGCCAACCTTGTGAAGACTTACAGGAAACGTTTGACCTCTGTCATTGCCAACAAAGGATATATAACAAAGTATTGAGATGAACTTTTGATATTGACCAAATACTTATTTTCCACCATAATTTGCAAATAAATTCTTTCCAAATCAGCCAATGTGATTGTCTGGATTTTTTTTCTCATTTTGTCTCTCATAGTTGAGGTCTACCTATGATGCCAATTACAGGCCTCTCTCATCTTTTTAAGTGGGAGAACTTGCACAATTGGTGGCTGACTAAATACTTTTTTGTCCCACTGTATCTAGTTATGCCCCTGGCAGACATCAAACCCATTTCTTTTTCTAGTCCCGTCAGGGTTTTTTATATATCATTCTGGACCAGGCATATCTGACTGATGATACTCTTTTGAAAAAGCTACTTTTAGAATGAACTGGCTAGGAGAAAAGAGAGATGGCTACGTTTCCTAAGCAAAAAACATAGTCTTCCAACTCTTATTGAAATCCCCTGCTCCCTATTCTTCCTGCAGCTTCTTTGCTCTAATCTCCAGAGGTGCTGGCCAGAAAAGATCGTTATCGTCAATACATTCCTGAGTAATGTATAAAGAATGGCAATATAATCAACAAGGTTATAGGTAAGTAAGAAATGAAGCTGTGTTTGTTTTTAATTTCTGGCTTTTACATTGAAAGTGATCTTAGTGCTGATAATACCTTTGGGTCACTTTAATAAATATAAACTACCCTAATGTAGCATTTGGCACACCTCTGCTCCCTCCTGTTAAGCATCTGTTGTTAACACTGGGCGCCAAAGACTGGATGCCAGGTAATAAGATAACTAAACATGATAGGCTCTGATGGTAAGCATTTTTAATTTTAATTATAGTACAACCAAAGTTGCCAAAAAATAAAAATCCAGGGACACCTTTTTATGCTGTGCATCCATCAAGCCGTTGTAGGCAGAGAATGTCCTTTAATTAAAGGTGGGGCATTTATTTAACCGTTTCCCATCCACCCTATAGTAGGAATACTGCTACAGGGTGGCACAGGTGCGCAAAATCACATATATATGTGATTTTGCAGTTCCGTATATGGGAACCTACCCTACCTGCTTCGCCATTCACGGCCTTGGCTGTCAATCACCAGGTCCCAGCCGGTGATTGCTCGCAGCACCCGGTGATCGCCAAGTATTACCGATGGGGGAGAGAATTGTGTGTAAACAATACAGTTCTCTCCCCTGTCAGCTCCTGCACACTGCGTTGTATGGCTCTGCATTGCAGAGCCATACAAAGCAGTGTGCTTACAGTTCAAAACACACTCACAGCTTACTGTGAAACAGCACACAGTTAACCCTTTGATCACCCCACATGTTAACTCTTTCCTGCCCAGTGCCATTAGTACAGTGTCAGTGCTTTTTATTAGAATGCCCACTGCAGTCCCACAGTCCCGTTATAAGTCGCTGATCGCTGCCATTACTAGTAAAAAATAAAAAAAATTAAAAAATTCCAGTATATATATATATTGCCATTTGTAAACGCTATACCTTCCACGTAAACCAAATAATTTACACGTATTGGGGTTTTTTTTCTAGAAGAAGAATACATTTCATGTAGAAGAATACATTTTGCCCTAAATTTATGATGAAATTTGAATTTAAATTTTTTTTATTGGATATGCTTTATAGGAAAAAGTCAAAAAGGAGGGTTTAACTGTTTAATTGTTTTTTATCAAAATTTTCCGTCTTTTTGTTTGTAGCACAAAAAATGAAAAAACCCACAAGCGATCAAATACCACCAAAAGAAAGCTCTATTTGCGGGGAAAAAATAATGCAAATGTCATAAGGGCGCAGCGTTGCATGACCGCGCAATTGTCAGTTAAAGTAACAAAGTGCCGTATCGCAAAAAATGGCCTGGTCAGGAAGAGGGGTAAATCCTCTGGAGAGGCAGTAGTGTTTCTATAAGAGGAATACCCCAAACCTACAATTCAATTTAAAATAGTCTAGAAGGTTTATCTTTATAAGGACAGACCATAGCTATATAGCTCTGTGCTATTTTAACTGGAAATTCTGCAGTCATGCAATGGTGTACCCGAACAAAATTTATATCAGTTTTTTCACACAAATAGAGCTCTCTTTTGGTGGTATTTGATCTCCACTTGGGGTTTTTTTTTTCATTTTTTTTGCAATGTAAATGAAAAAAAGCCTTTCTGCTATAAAGCATATCCAATAAAAAAAATGTAAAAATCAAACTTCTTTATAAATGTTGGCCAAAATGTATTCTGCTACATGTCTATGATAAAACAATCCCCTAATATTGATTGGTTTGTGTAAAAGTTTGTTAGGTGTTGGAATTTTTATTTATTTTATACTACTGCGATAGTGCGGTGGGCAATCTGACATTACCTGATGCTGAGGGGAAAGTGACTAACTGCCACTGACATGACCAGTGACATTACTACAGTGATCAGTGATAATATTATACGCTGTCACTGTACTAATGACATTGGCTGGGAAGGAGTTAACATCTAGGGTGATCAGGGGTTAAATGTTCGCCTACCTATGTGTAATGTGTGTAAAGTGTGCTGATTTTACTAACAGATCTCTAACACAGAGATTGTTCCCTCTGTACAGAGCTTTGTGTTGATTGTCAACACAGAGCTCTAGGCTATGGTTGTACACAGCCAATCAGCAGGTCCTGGCCATAAATCATTGGCAGAGACTTGCTGGCAGGCTCCTGCTGTCACAGCAGGTGCCGGCTGGTAAGTGGGGGGGGGGATGGCGCGCACTGAAAACCAGTAGCAGGCAGCGGCGTACAGGTGCGTTGATTTGTCTACAGCAGCAGATTAATTCTCCATGCTGCAGAATTAATGTGATGATGCAACTGTCCCCCGTCAGCTGTAAGCCTGAGAACTGAACGATCACATGACACCTGATCACTCAGTTCTTGGTCAGCTCTGAACAGAGAGCGGTGACTGTCAGTCCCTGTTCTCTGCTCTTTCTAGCAGTCACTAGAGAGATAGGTAGGAGAGGGGACAGGCAGAGTTGGCTTCAGCTCCCAGACAAGCCAGCTGTCAGGCAGCCGCGTGGATCCTGATAATATGAATGGGATCTTTCTAGAGCCCGGAGCAGCTCTGCCCCTATAGTAAGTCACTTATACCGCAATACCTAGGTTACATATATAGCAAAATATAAAAAAAGGGAAAAAACATTCATGTTTTCATGACTTTTTATTTTATACCTTGCCTTAGCAGTATTTGTCAGTCTGCATGATGCCCAGCTATTCTATACAATGCCTAGGTAAAGTATATAACACATTTAAATAATACAGACATTTCATGTTTTCATTATTATTATTATACAGGATTTATATAGCGCCAACAGTTTGCTCAGCGCTTTACAATATAACGGGAGACAATACAGGAACAATACAGTTCAAATATAAGAGGGAAAGGAGGGCCCTGCTCCTTGGAGCTTACAATCTACGCTTTTCATACTTTGCCCAAAGAGTACTTGTCATTCTGCAGAATGCCTAGGTATTTTATACAATGCCTAAGTAATGAGTATATAACAGAATTAAAATTACACAGATATTTCATACTTTGCCAAAAAATGTCACGCATTCTATAAAATCCTAGGCTTTCATTTGAATGCTGTTATTTCATACTTTGCTGGTAACAACATTTAAATTTTCTGTGGTTCAAATCTGGAAATAAAACCAGCATAGATCGCCATCTAGTGGTCATGCATGAAAACCCTTTTTAAGCGTTCATTCAAACTAACTTATTGTACAGGTGAAACTAAAAAAATTAGAATATCGTGCAAAAGTTCATTTATTTCAGTAATGCAACTTAAAAGGTGAAACTAATATATGAGAGATAAGACTCATTACATGCAAAGCAAGATAGTTCAAGCCGTGATTTGTCATAATTGTGATGATTATGGCTTACAGCTCATGAAAACCCAAATCCCACAATCTCAGAAAATTAGAATATTACATGCAATCAATAAAACAAGGATTGTACATAGAAAAATATCGGACCTCTGAAAAGTATAAGCATGCATTTGTACTCCGTACCTGGTTTGGGCCCCTTTTGCAGCAATTACTGCCTCAATGCGGTGTGGCATGGAAGCTATCAGCCTGTGGCACTGCTGAGGTGTTATGGAAGACCAGGATGCTTCAATGCGGCCTTCAGCTCTTCTGCATTGTTCGGTCTCATGTCTCTATCTTTCTCTTGGCAATGCCCCATATATGATTCTCTAGGGGTTCAGGTTGTGCAGAAAACCATTCCATCACTGACCCCCACTGTACTAATAATTGGCTAGGAAAGCCTCAACATCTAGGTAATCAAAAGGTTAAATGTTCGGATATGTTGTGTGTAAAGTGCTGCTGATTTTAAAGACATTAATAGAAGACAGTCAGGTCCATCTGTAAGAGCTTTGTGTTGACATTGACAAATTCTACATTTTTGGCTATGGTTGTACACCACCCAATCAGCATTTGAAATGAAACAAACAAGATGTGCTCCAAACTGCAGAGCTGGTCCGGCTGGTAAGTTGAGGGATAAACGCACTATAAAGTGCTGGCAGCGGCGTACAGGTCAACTTATTTAAGCACAATGTGGAATCCCATAACTCAAATTAATCAATGCAACTGTCCCCCGTCAGCTGTAATAAACTGAAATACAATTACACCTGATCACTGTGCTTAATGGTCAGCTCTGAACAGAAATTTTGACCAATCAAACTCACTGCTCTGAAGTCACTAGTTAGGTAGAGAGTACAGCGTCGGCGTTGGCTTCAGCTCCCAGGTGACCAGCTTTAGGCAGCTGAGTGGCCATCCTGGTAATATGAAATGTATCTTTCTAGAGCCCGGTACACCCCATAGTAATAGTCACTATACCGCAATACCTATGAGAGCATGAGGGTCTAAAAAAAAGGGAAAAACATTCATGCTACGTAAGTGCAATTTTATACCTGCCTTAAGTATTTTCAGTCTCCTATGGTAGCTATTCTATAAACCTAGGTAAAGGTATATAACACATGGGAGGAATAATACAGACTTTTTGTTTTGAGATTATTATTATTTACAGGCTTTATATACGCGGAACAGAGCCAGCGCTTTACAATAATACTAACAATACCAATGTTTCAATAAAAGTGGTTTTGGAGTGCCCTGCTGCCTTGAGGATCTTACAATAGGCTTTTCATACTTTGCCCAAAGAGTACTTGTCATTCTGAGAATGCCTAGGTATTTTATACAATCCTAGTAATGGTTGGATTATAACAGAATTAAATTACACAGATATTTCATACTTTGCCAAAAAATGTCACGCATTCTATAAAATCCCTAGGCTTTCATTTGAATGCTGTTATTTCATACTTTGCTGGTAAACACAGTTAACATTTTCTGTGGTTCAAATCTGGAAATATAAACCAGCATAGATCGCCATCTAGTGGTTCATGCATGAAAACCCTTTTTAAGTGTTCATTTCAAACTAACACTATTGTACAGGTGAAACTAAAAAAAATTAGAATATCGTGCAAAAGTTTTTATTTGTAATGCAACTTAAAAGGTGAAACTAATATATGAGATAGACTTATTACATGCAAAGCAAGATAGTTCAAGCCGTGATTTGTCATAATTGTGATGATTATGGCTTACAGCTCATGAAAACCCCAATCCACAATCTCAGAAAATTAGAATATTGTGAAAAGGTGCAATATTCTAGGCTCAAAGTGTCCCACTCTAATCAGCTAAATAAGCCATAACACCTGCAAAGGGTTCCTGAGCCTTTAAATGGTCTCTCAGTCTGGTTCAGTAGGAATCACAATCATGATTTGAAAGACTGCTGACCTGGAGTTGTGCAGAAAACCATCACTGACACCCTCCATAAGGAGGGAAAGCCTCAAAAGCGTAATTGCAAAATGAAGTTTATATGTTCCCAAAGTGCTGTATCAAAGCACATTAATAGAAAGTTACAGTCAGGTCATAAATATTGGGGTTCATTGACACAATTAATTTTTTGGCTCTATACACCACCACATGGATTTGAAATGAAACAAACAAGAGGGCTTTAACTGCACTGTCACTTTAATTTCAGGGTATTTACATCCAAATCAGGTGAACAGTGTAGGATTTACAACAGTTTGCATATGTGCCTCCCACTTGTTAAAGGACCAAAAGTAATGGGACAATTGGCTTCTCAGTTGTTCCATGGCCAGGTGTGTGTTATTCCCTCATTATCCCAATTACAATGAGCAGGAAAAGGTCCAGAGTTCATTTCAAGTGTGCTAATTGCATTTGGAATCTGTTGCTGTCAACTCTCAAGATGAGATCCAAAGAGCTGTCACTATCAGTGAAGCAAGTCATCATTAGGCTGAAAAAACAAAACAAACCCATCGGAGAGATAGCAAAAACATTAGGCGTGGCCAAAATAACTGTTTGGAACATTCTTAAAAAGAAGGAATGCACCGGTGAGCTCAGCAACACCAAAAGACCCGGAAAACCACGGAAAACAACTGTGGTGAATGACCGAAGAATTCTTTCCCTGGTGAAGAAAACACCCTTCACAACAGTTGGCCAGATCAAGAACACTCTCCAGGAGGTAGGTGTATGTGTGTCAAAGTCAACTATCAAGAGAAGACTTCACCAGAGTGAATACAGAGGGTTCACCACAAGATTGTAAACCATTGGTGAGCCTCAAAAACAGGAAGGCCAGATTAGAGTTTGCCAAACGACATCTAAAAAAGCCTTCACAGTTCTGGAACAACATGCTATGGACAGATGAGACCAAGATCAACTTGCACCAGAGTGATGGGAAGAGAAGAGTATGGAGAAGGAAAGGAACTGCTCATGATCCTAAGCATACCACCTCATCAGTGAAGCATGGTGGTGGTAGTGTCATGGCGTGGGCATGTATGGCTGCCAATGGAACTGGTTCTCTTGTATTTATTGATGATGTGACTGCTGACAAAAGCAGCAGGATGAATTCTGAAGTGTTTCGGGCAATATTATCTGCTCATATTCAGCCAAATGCTTCAGAACTCATTGGACGCCGCTTCACAGTGCAGATGGACAATGACCCAAAGCATACTGCAAAAGCAACCAAAGAGTTTTTTAAGGGAAAGAAGTGGAATGTTATGCAATGGCCAAGTCAATCACCTGACCTGAATCCGATTGAGCATGCATTTCACTTGCTGAAGACAAAACTGAAGGGAAAATGCCCCAAGAACAAGCAGGAACTGAAGACAGTTGCAGTAGTGGCCTGGCAGAGCATCACCATGGATGAAACCCAGCGTCTGGTGATGTCTATGCATTCCAGACTTCAGGCTGTAATTGACTGCAAAGGATTTGCAACCAAGTATTAAAAAGTGAAAGTTTGATTTATGATTATTATTCTGTCCCATTATTTTTGGTCCCTTAACAAGTGGGAGGCACATATGCAAACTGTTGTAATTTCCTACACCGTTCACCTGATTTGGATGTAAATACCCTCTCAAATTAAAGCTGACAGTCTGCAGTTAAAGCACATCTTGTTAGTTTCATTTCAAATCCATTGTGGTGGTGTATAGAGCCAAAAATGTTAGAATTGTGTTGATGTTCCAATATTTATGGACCTGACTGTATGTGGAAGGGAAAAGGCCATTCAAAAGTGTTGGGGACTTTCACAAGGCGTGGACTGAGGCTGGAGTCAGTGCATCAAGAGCCACCACACACAGACGGATCCTGGACATGGGCTTCAAATGTCGTATTCCTCTTGTCAAGTCACTCCTGAACAACAAACAACGTCAGAAGCGTCTTACCTGGGCTAAAGAAAACAGACCTGGTCTGTTGCTCAGTGGTCCAAAGTCCTCTTTTCTTATGAGAGCAACTTTTGCATCTCATTTGGAAACCAAGGACCTAGAGTATGGAGGAAGAATGGAAAGGCACACACTGCAAGATGCTTGAAGTCCAGTGTGAAGTTTCCACAGTCTGTGTTGATTTGGGGAGCCATGTCATCTGCTGGTGTTGGTCCACTGTGCTTCATTAAGTCCAGGGTCAACGCAGCCGTCTACCAGGAGATTTTGGAGCACTTCATGCTTCCTTCCACAGACAAGCTTTATGGGGATGCTGACTTCATTTTCCAGCAGGACTTGCACTGTCCCACACTGCCAAAAGCACAAAAACCTGGTTCAATGACCGTGGGATTACTGTGCTTGATTGGCCAGCAAACTTGTCTGACCTGAACCCCATAGAGAATCTATGGGCATTGCCAAGAGAAAGATGAGAGACATGAGACCGAACAATGCAGAAGAGCTGAAGGCCGCTATTGAAGCATCCTGGTCTTCCATAACACCTCAGCAGTGCCACAGGCTGATAGCTTCCATGCCACACCGCATTGAGGCAGTAATTGCTGCAAAAGGGGCCCAAACCAGGTACTGAGTACAAATGCATGCTTATACTTTTCAGAGGTCCGATATTGTTCTATGTACAATCCTTGTTTTATTGATTGCATGTAATATTCTAATTTTCTGAGATTGTGGATTTGGGGTTTTCATGAGCTGTAAACCATAATCATCACAATTATGACAAATCACGGCTTGAACTATCTTGCTTTGCATGTAATGAGTCTATCTCTCATATATTAGTTTCACCTTTTAAGTTGCATTACTGAAATAAATTAACTTTTGCACGATATTCCAATTTTTCGAGTTTCACCTGTATTTGCTATCTGGAAAGGCGACATGACGGAAATGTATTGGTGAAAAGAGGACAAACCCACCTGCGCTATCCTGCCAGGAAGCTTCCACTGCACAAAGCCAATTATTAGCATCCAATGCATTCCATATCCCCACAGCTGCCGGCTCACAGGCAGGGAATGGGAAATAGAGGGAAGCCAGACTAAGCGCAGCATAAAAGACTTGGGTTTATTAAATCATGCAACTCACAAATACATGGAGAAGTAACGCATGTCAGTACATGCACAGATCTTGCCTCGGCAAAGGCAACCAGTATGATAGCCACAAGTCAGTCTGGCGATTAGTGATAGACTCCAGGGAGCAGCCTGCCACCCCGCATTGACCAGTATGGAACACATGATGGTGCCGGGCCAGTAGTGGCATCAGCATGGAGACGAGATGGCGTGGATGTGGGCAGTAACGCGTTTCAAAGCTTCCACTTCTTCATCAGACCCCCCCCCCCCCCAGGGTGAATGAAAGTAAGCATAAGGAAGGGGGGAAAATGATTTCAAAGACCTGCTTCCCAAATAACAAGTGTTTGTTCCCCTGTGATCTCTCCTTCTCACAGGCAGGGAATGCCTTTGCTGCTTATGATTGACTTGGTGCAATAGCAGCTTCCTGGCGAGATAGGTGGGTTCAGACTAAGAGCTGAACATGCCTGAGCTCATCCCTACTTACAATTACAGGCCCTCTTGGGATTGACCAGTAGGAATACCCAATTAGTCAGAGTGTCAAAATCATCACCACCCTGCTTATGTACCAATATGACTTTAGAAGATAGCAATGGCTTGATTTTACTTTTTAAAGGGATAGCTGAGAAATAAATCAGCTGAAAGAAAATCATAAGGATTTTGTCATTTTTTTTTATTAAATAAAGGCAAATCACAAATACACAAACCTAGTGAGTGGTTATCTTCCTGTGCACTTAAACATACCTATAAATTCCTGAGGCATCTACTGGTCTGTATCAGATTTAACCCCCTGTACCTACTCCAGGTACTGAAACGGAAGGTCTGAAGGGGTCATTTCTGGAAGAAGGGGGATGATCTGCGATCTAAAGTGCCAATATACAGCATAATAGATGTACTTTTGATTGCTCCCCTTCGGAGATGCTTGGCAATCACTGGGTGCCAGCGAGTAATCACCGACCGAGACCCGGTGATTGACAGCTGCAGTGATTTTCACATGTGCCCCGTACCTGGAAATGCAAAATCACGTATGTCTACCTGATTTTGCACACCCGTGCCGCCCTGTAGCATTATTTCTGCTATAGGGCAGTTGGGAACGATTAATATAACTTTAACAAAAATAATACAATATGATATAATATTATTAATAATAAAAATAGGTAACTTTGGAGAGGCTTCTCAGAGTCACTTCTCCTCAGCAAGTTATTGCCACCAAAGCTGCAGTGCTTTCTAAATCTGTTCTACAGCCAATCACAGCGCAGCGAACCACTGCTACAACAAATCACAGCATTAGCCACCTCACTTCACTTCAACTGCCAGTTATTCACTCATGCAACACTGCATCCAAATACATTTAGTAGCATTTTCTTTTAGTGGTGTTTAATATCCAATGTTTTTTTTAAATCTTTACTATATAAAGTAAAACATTTAAAAATGAATACAATATTGCTGTGGAATTGTTTTCATGAGGGAGTTGGGGTTGTGGTTTTTAAAATGCCTTTTTAAAATGCCACTGACCACCCTTGATTGTGGATTTTTTTTTATTTAATGGAGAGGGAGGTTTATTGCCAGTGACCACTAATAATTGTGGGATTATTGTGTGAGGTTTAAAGTGTTTTGGGTTTATTCAGGACATCTAGCCATTGCATGCAGTGTAAATTTATCATCCAGAGAACTTCCAGTATTAATGAAAAGCTTGCAGTTGGTGTCAGTGAGTGACATTTAAAAGATGAGCATACCGTAGCCATCTCAATACCAGCATGTTTCTTTATTATCAATATCGTAGTGGCAAAAATAAGATCATCTTGGGGTGTCTACCTTCCAAAAATTGTTTTTGGAGGTTTGTTATGTAGCAGTTTTGTTTCATATGCTTCATAACAGAAAATACAGGAAACAGCTCTCAGAAGAGCCGGCCGTTTGACGCTGACAGTAGTTCCTAGCAAACAAATGAACACATTATAAACAAAAGCACTGAAAATATTTTACACCCCAATACAAGAGATAAAATTTTTGCCTTAAGGGTTTACATTAAGGCTAGGTTCATACTAATACGGAGCGGTCAATTCCATGTGATTTGCACAGGAACCGCATCACATTCCTGTGCAAATCACATGCAATTTGTGTACGGTGCGATTGGAGCCATAAATTTTGTATAACTCTAATCGCACCACACCCGCACCAAAAAGTTGCAGGACCCCTTTTTGGGTCCGCATTAGAATTGGATCGCATAGCTATTCACACCACCAATGTGATCCGATTCTGCACATCGCACTGCGTTTTGCGGACTGACTTCTGGGTGTTGTTAACTTAACATACACACCTGCAGCATTTCCCATGAACGGGGTGCGATTCCGACGAGGTGCGGAATTCGCACTGAAAATGCTGAGAATTCCGCACCACATCAGTGTGAACCCAGCCTAAAGTGTGTGGCTGGAGCTGCCCTTTAACTTTGTTTGTCGATTATTTAAAGTGATATTAAAGCCATTTTACTGAGATTCTGATAGCAGGGCTTATAAACTATTGCTGTTTTTTAACATTTTCTCCTTTGGGGCTGTTCCTCATACTCTCCCCCGGAAAAGCTGCTCAACTTCAGGTATGCTTAAGACCCCATTCACACTTGAGCGTTTTTCAACTTGATGCTCAAAAACACTCAGCAAGTAAAATCCCATTATTTCCAATGGCCCCTGTTCACACTTGAGCGTTATGTCGCCTGTAGCAAAACGTCTGTCACTCAAAAAAGTACTTGTGCTACTTTTCAGGCAGATCTGAGCATTTTGTCCCCATAGACTTGAATGCAAAACGCCTGAACAGTGGGAATGAGTGTTTTTTCAAGTGTTTTTTTCAGCTCAAACAGCAGCTATTTCTATTTACCACAGCAAAAACACCTAAATGAAAAACGCCTGAAAAAACGCCTATAATATTTGCAAATCTGCTAAAAAGACGCTCAAAGAAGCCTGAAAAATAGCTTGTAAAAACGCCTGAAAAACGCTCAGCTTAACCCCTTCATGCCAACATCACACAAATATGTGGCCTCACAGAACTGGTCTTTTTTCCGTGGGGCCGCATATTTGCATACCTGTCTTTCTGCTGTGAGCACCCTGCATAGGCCGCTCTCAGCACAAAGACCGTGGTGTCACTGAGAGCCCCGGGTCCTGTTCTAACGATCGGGACCCATGACTCCCGATTCTGGGTCACATGATTGCTGTGATAGCCTCTGATTGGCTATCACAGTGATCAGTCACTGTGAATCAAGGTTTGATCTAGTTCAGTGACAGGGTTAGTATTTGGGTCAAGGTCAGGGTCAAAGGTTAAGGTCAAAGGTCAAGACAAGAAACACACAGCTAAATTAAAAAAATGATTTTTTAAAAAACTATTTTGGGCCAGTTTTCCTTTGATCATAAAAAAAAAAATCAGGAGATCTCCATTACCATTTACCACCAAATGAAAGCCCAATTTGTCCTGAAAAAAAAAAAACAAGGTGTGAGGTGGGTGTTCTGGCTCCCTCCCCAGCGGTCAGTTTCCCATAGCAACTGGGACTGAACCTGCGTCACAGGGACCTGCAGCCTAGCTGCACGGTATGGAGAGATTGAGCAAGTAGTTAAGTGAGAACACATGCATGAGGTCCACACTATGTGCTTGGTGGGTCCCCATTCTGTCACTGGGAGTCAGATGGAGAGGGGAAAGGGCCCAGCGGTGTCTCTTCTAAATGCAACAGTTACAGCAAGGTGTGTAGTGACATGGGATGCAGCACTTCACTGCGGAACTCTGTACATTAAATTACTACACACAGTGTGGCTCATTTCTTAGGCTCCATGTACACGACCGCCGGCCACAGGAAAACACAAATCATGGGGAAACGTGGCAACCGCGGTACCGTGATTTTGCTGTGTTTTCCCGTGGCCGGCGGTCAAAACGTTCCTGACCGGAACACGATTCTTCCGTATTCAGGAGAGGAATGTTTAACCTCACTTAAACGTGGCAGCTCCTAAACTCTGCTAAAAGCCTAGGTGTATATGGACACATAGGCTTTTATGGAGTTGAGTTTAATAGCTTTGGCAAAAAAATGGCAAAAGCTCCTAAACTCAAGTTTAGCATCTTCTCGTGTACATGAGCCCCTAAGTCAAAGGCTGTCTTAAGGTTGATTTCACCTGAACTTGGCCTCTAGTCCTGAGCATTGGTGAGTGTATGCACACACAGAAAGGTACCCCATGTGTAGGGAAAGTGACCCTGTCTACTGCCTGGTGTAGAACCCATGGGCTTGCAAATAGTGAGACTGCAACTAGACCACAAACTGCCAGTCACATAAACCCTTTACGCAAATTAAAGAGAAAATGACCCTCTTTTTTGGTGTAAATAATTTATAAAAATAAAAAAAAAAACATCAATATACCTTTTTTACACAATAAGGGCTTGTTTACACTTGCTTCAAAATGTGGTATTGGACACTCTTTTTTAAAGCACTCTGAATGCCAATCAAAGCACATGTCACTAAATAAAATGGTAAGCTAACAGTCCTGTTTACACAATGTGTTTGCTTTGCTTCAAAAATTATACCTCATGTCACTTTCTTGGTGCTTCAAACGGTCTCCACAGTAAAGCCTCCATAGACATCTATGACAAAGCTTGATTACAGCACTAGCAGCGTTTTGAGAGGAGTTTATTCAGCTTTAGCTTTGCTTTGTTTTGTAGATATTGCAGGTATGAAATTTTGCAGGATACATGGATAAACCCCAACAAGCGAATTGGAAAGACGTCATCAGCAGTCACTTCTGGTTCATGTGTATACTGTATATTCCGGGATTGTCTAGTACAGACGTCATATCTGGTGTGAAAAAAATAGAACAACAGGAAGGTGAGTGGGGTTCAGACTTGAGTGGAGCAACTAGCAAATGGCACACGTGGTATGCAACAGGGGACACTATAGGCGAAGGTGAACGGGGATCGGAAAGAGGACTAAGTGGCAGAGGATCAGCAGAGCTGGGGGACCAGAGCAGGAGAAACTAGCAATGTCACACGTGGTGTTGCAACATGGGAGCAATATAGCAGGTGGTGAGTGGGGACTAGAGAGAAAGGAGGATCAGCAAATCAAAAGATCAGCAGAGCTTTGGGTTACTACAGTGGGGGATCAGCAGAGCTGGGAGTTACTACTGAGTGGGGGATCAACAGAGCTGGGGGTTTCTATTAAGACAGGGATCAGCAGAGCTGGTAGTTACTACTGAGTGGGAGATCAGCAGAGCTGGGAGTTACTACTGAGTGGGGGATCAGCAGAGCTGGGAATTACTACTGAGTGAGGGATCAGCAGAGCTGGAAGTTACTACTGAGGGATCAGCAGAGCTGGAAGTTACTACTGAGTGAGGGATCAGCAGAGCTGGAAATTACTACTCAGACAGCTGGGAGGAGCAGGGGATCAGCAGAGCTGGAAGTTATTACTGAGCAGGGGATCAGCACAGCTGGGAGTTATTACTGAGCAGGGGATCAGCACAGCTGGGAGTTACTACTGAGCGGGGGATCAGCAGAGCTGGGAGTTACTACTGAGTGGGGGATCAGCAGAGCTGGGAGCAGGGGTGGACTGACCATTTGGAAACTTGGGCACTGCCGAGGGCCCAGGGTCAGTAGGGGGCCCCATGAGATGTCCCTGGTACCTTTTTCATAGGCTTTTTTAAGTTTTGGCAAGGACACAGGGGCCCCATGATCCCCTATTGCCTGGGGGCCCCATGAGTGGTCAGTCCACCCCCTGGCTGGGAGTTACTACTGAGTGGGGGAGCAGCAGGGCTGGGAGTTACTACTGAGTGGGGGATCAACAGAGCTGGGGGTTTCTATTAAGAGGGGGATCAGCAGAGCTGGGGATACTAATGAGTAGGGGCTCAGCAGAGCTGGGAGTTACTACTGAGTGGGGGATCAACAGAGCAGGGAGTTACTACTGAGCAGGGGATCAGCAGAGCTGGGAGTTACTATTGAGTAGGGGATCAGCAGAGCTGGGAGTTACTACTGAGCAGGGGATCAGCAGAGCTGGGAGTTACTAATGAG